ATTCACAGAGAGGGTCTGTTTCTCCATTTCAAGCTACTGGTTGGGCTGGATATCAGAAACACAATCTGCGAAGCTTTTCTAAGAAAGCTCACAGACTGAACAAGTTTTTTAAAACAGAAGAATCTGGTATTTGTAAAGAAGCTGATGAAATCATCAAAGAGGCTAAAGCTCAAAGTGCAAAGACAGTGTTATTGCTTGGCTACCTGCTAATATCGTTGCTATCATGAAGTACTTTCTCAGAGAAGGAAGAACAACTATTCTTGATGTAAGAACTTAGAACTTCTTAGTTATTAGTCGTTTTACAATTTGGGTGTTTGGGGAATAACCTTGTCATGATATTTATTTTAGAAAACAATAATGGGTAACATGTCCAACCTTACCAATGAAAACCAGCCTCCTATCCAAGAACAAAAGCTTAGTGTCTTTTCACAGTGTAGTAGCTGCAGCAAAGATTATTTAATAACATGCTGAAAAGGATAGATGTTTATGAACTTCATGTGTTGCTTTGGTACTGAATATATTGTTATACATGTACCTTTCAGGACACGTCTACCAGAACTGAAGTTGAAGCTGCAGACACAGATGGCTTGCCAAGGATAGTTTGCTCTGGTAAATGTTGTGTGAGATGAGTAATATAGCTTGTACAGCAATAACCCAGTTTGGGGCAAAAGCTCTCTCTTAGCGCTTGATTCAAGAAAAAGCACGTATCTAAAGGGATACACAATCACTCTTGAGTCTTTACTCCCTGAGTTCTCAGATAAACAAAATTTCTAAACTAATTTTGTACTCTGGTAGAATGTCTGTATCGAAGTTTAGAACATAACGAATAGAAAAAGAAACATATATTTCCATGTATCATTCATGTTACAGGCAGGAATGTTATGGAGGCCAAAAAGTTCAGGATTGTGGTTGACAGAGTGGTGGTGATGTCTGACTTGACAAGCTTTATAACATCCCTGAGTGCCCTGTTTGCTCTCTTTTACATTCTGAACATTCAGTACCAACATGGAGGATCAGCTACCTTGGAATTCATACAAAGGTAAGTATCACTTGCCAGTTATTGCTTTTCGTGATTATTTCACTACAAAATTTCAGTATTGGGTGATTCAAATAGCTTATTTGAAAACGTTGCTTGTTATAGATGAAAGTGTACTGCAGGGCTTGATTTAGTGCTTAGTTACTTGTACTGGTGCAACCCTAGTTATTTGTCTAACATTACAAACATAATTATGTCATTATGTTAACTTTGAACAATTCAATAGTATATATCTTTCATTACTATTGCACTAAAAGCAGTGCAACTGGAATTTGGCTGGTGCAACTAGGTTTTTCTTAATCAAGCCCTGTACTGTATTTGACTTTGTGGCTCTACTACTAAAATCTGCCTGAGGAAGCAGTCTGTACAGGAATGAGATTTGGTTTTTCTCATATAAAATTTCTTTGATCTCAAAAGTTAATGTTTTTAGAGATCATTCTGAAATTTGGATTGATGTTCATTTTATATTGTAAATGGCTAAAGGGAAATAAGTTATCTATTATTATCCGTCACAAAGTTGGAGAGGGATCTAAGAATGTCTGTCTCATCTGTCACATTTTGTTTGTAGGATAAAGACTGTTCAGTATTTCTGGATGAAATTTTGCACATAATTGAAATTGTTTGTTTAGTAAACTATAATCATAATAGATTCAATAATTCATTCAATACATTTGTCAGAACATAACCTGTGAACCTTTTCCATGTTTGACACATTTCAATGGTTTTAAAGAAAAGTTTTACTACTAGATTTCTTTTTCCTATTCCATCTGAACAAATGGCAAATTATATCCAATGATAATCACTGCTTCTATTATTCATTTGATAGTAGCACCACCCTACTAACTAGTACCAAGATAGCTAAAGGTATTGTGGGCCATTTCTTTATTCAGTGTCATTGATTCTTGGCAAGTCCAAGTCAACTTTTGTGGTCAGGGGTTGTCAGCTTGCACTCAATAGAAGTATTAGTAGTTTATGCTTATCTTCACTGAATCTGCTTCATGGTTATCGTTTCTATGAAATAACACACACAGACTATTTGGTTTTACTTTCAGATGTTTCGTTGGAATCAACCCAAACAGGGGCAGCAAGAGTGACCGAAAAAAGGAAATCTAGTTGTGCTGGAAGTGTAAATGCCAAGGTTCTGCGACTTATCAACCAAATGGCGAATTTTGAGTGGACTACCTGTTAAGTTGTGAACTGTGACTGTTGTTGCTGTTATCTCACTTGACTGAAAGGACATGGTGATTCATGTACAATTTATTTGGTGGAAGTTTTCCAAAGTTATTGTGAACCAGTTATTGTAAGTTTGTTTTTAGTGGCACCTCAGGTCAAAGTGAGTTTTGGCATAGTGTGTTGTCTGTCCACCCATGAACCTCTTATCTGAAGAGAGCTTTATGTTTATGAGACTATTTAGAACTATGACACATTTGTATCATCAACATGTTCTTAAATGATGGTTGCAGAATTGTCAGGTATAATGGAATATATCTGGTGAGCAGCAAGTTTCATGTAAAACAATTTCATTGCAAGTGAGACAGCATTATAATTATCTTAGTTTTGACATGGCTCTGATGGTGTGCAAGAATGCATAAAGATGATGAATTTTTGGTTGTTTCAGCAGGTAATAACTTTGTTTGAATTTAGAGTTAAATTGTTCATTGAAACAGTGGACATAATATGTTTCTATAAATGAATCTTTTGCAATTGTGTTGGTATTGGTATTGGTATTCAAGTTTCTCTTAGGGTTTTGTGTTGAGTTATGCAACTGTTAGTGACATTAGTTTGCATACCATGCAAACAGGCTAGTTGCCTACAATCATACTAAATTACTGCTGTTAGAGAAATTAGCTTTCATTGCAAACAGGCTGTTTGTTTGCATTTGTATTGAGTACATCATGTTGAGATTTAAATCACTAGACTTTATGGATCATAACTAAATGATGATGCACTAAGACTGAATTGCTGTTTGCATGCTTTAACTTTTCTTTCATGGTGTTAATTACACTATTTGACACACACCTTATTGTTCCAGATGTAATAATAAAAATTCGCAAACCTTCCTTCTTTCTCATGTTCTATGTATTTCAAGAAATTCGTGTAGATTTAGTGTTTTCCTTTTCATGTTGAAATAAAGAATTAATGTTAATTTAAAGAAAGACTGTGAATTGCAAATTACATTTGGAATGTTAATCCACGACAAATGTTTGGCAACCATGCTGCAAGTTATTTCGTCGTAAATTTACAGAATGTCTGTTAAATTACGGAATCACTGTAAATTACAATTTACATTTCGAATGTAAATTCACGACAAAAGGTTGGCAACCATGCTGCCAGTTATTTCGTCGTAAATTTACGTGGGAATTTGTTACAGTGAAGGTGGTGTTCACGGCCGCGATGCAGGATCATGTCTAGACTGCATAGGGCCGCATCGCCGCTCTCGGCTACCGAGAACATAGACTATGTTACACCATGCACCCCTTGAGATGTAATGATATATGATACTTACAGCAAACAGCAACAGCAAACAACGAGAAGTACGATTGGAACAGCCCAAAGTATCAATTCTCCACTCATTTTCTACATTCGTGACAACTCGTGTTATGCACAGTTCCGACCGAAGCTACGAAGCCACGCCTAATTTACATTGGTTACTGTTGCTATGTAGCCCATGCTTTGCGACACACTCCGGCGTAGTGATGACCTTGCATAACATAGTTACCTTTTTTTCTTGAAGGGTGTGTGCACGACATAAACGTTTTCTCCAAAATATTGGTTACATTTGATTTTCAGTTTGATAGAATTATCAATTACAGTAAATACACCCCATAATTCATGTAGACAGTCATTGCTATGTCTAACTCTAGTAATTGTTTCACTCTGGGATATTTAACAGGGGTATATCTTTTTAATATTTTTTTACTTTTTAAATTTAGTAAATCACATTCAGTCATTTACACTAATTTCATATTATACTTGCATCTAAATTCACATATGAAAGTGGTATCTGCTTTATTTGTGTATTTCTTTCTCCACAGTAATGGAGGCCGCTGCTCACACATCTTGGGTTTGGTGAAATTCCAACAAGGAATAAAACTACATAATTTTACTCATGTGCCTCAGCTGAGCTGTACCAGTCTGCCTCAACCACAGAGTTCGAATCACTGTTTGGACAATAATTTTTGAAAATGAAAATCTAAGTTTTTGCAACCGTATATTGTTTGTATATGCTATGAGTAACTTATATTTCAAATTTGAACGAAATCGGTGAGGAAAACATCTAGATTTTCATTTTCAAAAATTATTGTCCAAACAGTGATTAGAACTCCTGTGGCCCCAACAGTGGCATAAGCCCCTGGGCAGGACAATCACCACCAGTCCCCATGTCACTGTGGCCAGACCGACACCCAACAGGGAGGTAGCCCGTGAGCTGCCAAATTGACATCACAAAGAAGTAAGTCATACACCAACATTACAATCAAAGATTTATCCTGTTTAAAATATATGTTTAAATTATAAACGGTGTTTCAAATTTGTTTTTATTCATATGTGATGAAATATATATTAATGTACATACTTCCGTTAAGCCATACATTAAAGTCTTTAATTTGACTTTCACAAATTCGATTATGTCTTTCACTTTGAAACAGCTGGAGTGAGTAAGCGAGTTTAGTTTTACGCCTTTTTTAGCAATATTCCAGTAATCTCACAAGGACACAAGGAATGGGCTTAACACATTGCGGTGGGGTAGCCTAGTGGTTAAAGCGTTCGCTCGTCACGCCGAAGACCCCGGGTTCGCTTCCCCACATAGGCACAATGTGTGAAGGCCATTTGTGGTGTCCCCCGCCGTGATATTGCTGGAATATTGCTAAAAGTGGCGTAAAACCAATCTCACTCACTCACTTTAATGCCTCCGCCTTAACATGCACTATTATTACACCTGTTGTGCAAGGTTATGCCGCCTCATTGAACGCCGTAGCCTAGTTGCCGTGGCCTAGTACAGGCAGACCCGTAGGTAGTCAATATTCTTGCTCAACCGTTCAACTGTCTTCTTGTGGCCAAAACAACTATCCTCCAACTTGCTACAATGTACGGTGTACAAATCGGATGTGTTATCCTCACCTTGGTGACAATTTGTAAGTATAAGTTAACATGATGTTCATGACTTGATGACAACCAGCTTGTTTTGTCTAAATGCGCAGTACCCTCTACTGATGTTCAAATGTCAATCCACTCATAAAAAAGCAACGCTGTGGTTTGCTACCTATATTGTTGCTTTGTGAGACTGGAGTCACTTACTTGTAACCACAGGGGGCGAAATTATTTACCTAAGGTTGTTTTATAGAACGATTCCCAGTTCATAGGTAGTGTAGGTGTGTTGCGTTGTTATGTCGATCCATGTAAATGGGATCAATATTGTTAGTTAAGGTAGAAATGTCGAATAACCCACAGTAGTAGCTAATGGACTGATGAGGTGTTTCGAGGCCAATATTACAGTTATCTATTTCCGTTTGAATAACTTACTGTACCTGTTGTTTGCTCTTACTGGGTAGGTCTGGGGATATTACCATGGTAGGGAGATAGTTCATCCATTTTATCTGTAACACAAGAATAACGGTTAGTGTCTGAATACATATAATTTTGACAGTATCAAATAAACCCTTTTAAATTAAAAAGGAGCCCCAGTGAGAGGGGAAATTCAGAACCTGAGGAAATTAAGACTTGCTTCATTTATATTAGCTTAGTCTCTGAATATAAATAATTTTGATAGTACTAAATAAACCCATTTAAATTACAAAGGAGACCCAGTGAGAGGGGTAACTCAGAACCTGAGGAAATCTAGACTTGCTTCATTTAGGGCTTTGGCATTGCAGGGAGGGCCAGGCTGTAGGAAAATAATGTGGTTCAGGGACTGTGAGACAAACTACGGTAACAACTGTACTAACTCAGGTTTCCATAGCGCAATCATTGACGATCATCTCGTTCCGTTCACCTGGTCCATTACTCGGGAGTCGTACTGACTCGACAAAGCACCGGGTTTTTATGATTCATGTGTAATTGATTAGTTTTACGTTTCATAAAAGAAAGTCTATAGCTGCAATATCATGCAGGAGTAAATCAATTTTAAACGGCCGCGCAACGGCTTCTAGGCTATATGCTCTGTCCTGACTCCACGCGTCATACAATGTACATGCCTGTATAAGTTGATGTGTTTATTTTCTCGATCGTTTGCAGCTTGCGCCATTGAAGTATGCTACGAGAAACAGCTTGATGGGACTTCCCAGCTAAAGACCTGCGCTTACTCTTGTTGTGGAACCACGTATTATAAGTACTGCTGCGGCTCGTCCAGGTGAGCTTTCTGGTACTATACTCTGTTAGAAATATATACTAAGTATGTAATTTGCGATACTCTGGTAAGTACAAAGCAGAGTGTTATATACATCAGGTATTGTAGACTCACCTAGCTCTACAGCATCACCTTTTGCTGTCTGTAATTGGCAACACTTTATAATTACAATATTTGGTGTTTTTAGGTCTAGATGAGTCTACAATACCTGGAGTATATAACACTCAATCCTGTACTTAATTTAGTTATGACCAATTACAGACACCATTAAGTGATGTTGTAGGTCGAGATAAGTCTACAATACCTGATGCATATAACACTCGATCCTGTACTTAATTTAGTTTAACCAATTACAGGCAGCACTAAGTGATGTTGTAGGTCGAGATGAGACTACAATACCTGATGCATATAACATTCGATCCTGTACTTAATTTAGTATGACCAATTACAGACAGCATTAAGTGATGTAGGTCGAGATGAGTCTACAATACCTGATGCATATAACACTCGATCCTGTACTTCTAATTTAGTGCTGACCAATTACAGACAGCATTAAGTGTTGTAGGTCGGGGTGAGTGTACAATACTTGATGTATATAACACTCTGTTCTGTACCTCTTAATTTTAGTATGGCCAATTGCAGACAGCATTAAGTAATGTTAAGGTCGAAGTATGCCTACAATACCTGATGTATATTATACTAGATCCTGTACTTAATTAAATATCGCAGAGATGCTGTAGGTCGAAGTCAGTCTACAATACCTCAGCCCTGTGCTAAATAAAGTATGGGCTCACACAGTACATGTATAGCTAGACTAGCACAAGCCTTTAAATCAATAGCCATTAGTTTTAACCATAATTCCTTGATTATACAAAAACAAGAGACACGTTCCCGTGAAGGCTGTTGTGTTATCCTGTTATCTAGCATTTCATGTTGAAAGGATAAAACTATGAAACATTCATAGACTTATCATTCAGTACAAACTTAGATCAAGGTTGACAGTTCGAGGTCGAGGCGAATAATTCCTTGTGGGATTTCAGTTACACTGTGCGTTTTACAAACACCCTCTACACAAATCTTTTATTATCCAACGTGGGCTTTATTAGTCTATGCAGGCGACAAACACAATATGCGTAGAACAACACGCACAAGGGCCATGTTACCAGCGATGTTACTGAGCTGTTGCCAAACGCTCGGCAAACGGCTTTATGTGTAGCTTTGATACACTTTAAACCTTTTATGTTTGTTTCTTATGTATGTATGTATGTATGTATGTATGTATGTATGTATGTGTGTGTGTGTATTGTGTGTGTGCGTGCGTGCGTGCGTGCGTGCGTGCGTGCGTATGCGTACGTATGTACGTATGCATTTAACTGATGTTTTAGGCAACGGTTTGAATCCAAGATAGGGTTGTGTGACATAAACATAAAATGTCAAAACTGAGATCACGAGATCTGGCAATTCTTCCACAGAGCTGCTTTTATTATTTGATGCAGGCGACTAGCATGACATGCGTAAATCAACTTTACACGAACTGCATTGTTACAATCGCTTAGACGCTGAGCTGTAGCCAAGCTCTCGTCAATCTTTTCTGGGTAGATTTGAAACTCGTTGAAGTATTATTTATTGAAAATAACTGTTAAAGTTCTATTTCTTGAACATTAAGATTGATTGGACTGAAGTTCACTCTACCAATACGTATTGCTATTAAGCTTTTTGTGATGACAGTCAGCCTCGTGTATAAAAAACTTGATGTCGTAAAATAAGTGAGTTTAGTTTACGCCGCTTTAGAAATATTTCAGCAACGCCACTGCGGGAGACACCGCAAATTGACTTTACACATTGTATCCATGAGAGATTCGAACCCGGGTCTTTGACGTGACGAGTGAACGCTTTAACCACTAGGCTAACCCTGATGTCATTGAGATATACCATCGGAATCAAATGGTTTGTCTGTGTCAATTCAGTAACTAGGCAGAACAGGGAAAGGGGTAAACGTGTAGGACGTGCAGAAACCAACGCTAAATCAAAGCGATTTACTATTTGATTGCAGGATTGTAGATAGTGACACACAGCAAAAGTATCAGGCGTTACCAACTTACCATACATACACAATATATATGATTATCATAGATACAAGCATGTAGCATCAAATGCAAGTTAATTGTAAATAAGCACTTCCAGAGGATTTAACACACTCAATATTATTGAGCTGTAGTACAAGAAACAGTGACTGAGTTTAGTTTTTATCGTAAATGGCCTTCACACATTGTACCCATGTTGAGAATAGAACCCGGGACTTCAGCATAACGAGCGAACGCTTTAACCATTAGGCTACCCATCCGCCCCTCAATAATCGGCCATGTGGTTGTGTTTATGTTAAGGTCTAGACATAGTTGGTTGATAGTTCCTTTATCATCAAAACTGGCTCCCACAGTAGATATCGCTTGTGTGTGAGCAAGTTTAGATATTGTAGATATCGCAACAATTGAATTGTCATAATGCTATTAAATCATCAGTAAAATGACCTCTCAATGCTTTGACATCTCTAAGAACACAACTGACAATGCTATGACGTCACAAAGGTGATGACATCACAACACTCGTTGATTAAAGTAAAATACCTAGGTAAGCCTCGAATATTTATAACTTTAGTCAACACGTGTTGATATATTTGATATCTGAAGACACATGGGTGAGATTCTCTATTAACCACACTGGAATCATATCACAGTTTCAGCAGCACCTACCACTACGCCTACTCGTTGAGCACAGGAGCCATTATCGGCATCGTCATTGGAGCCCTCTGCCTCATCGGTCTGATCGTCGGAGCCATCATCTGCTGCTGTGTCTGCTGCTGTAGGTCATCGCCAGGACAACGAGGTCAAGTGATACAAAACCAACCTCAACTGACTGTAGTGTCAGGTAAGCAATCAGTCACATATGGGTGAGTGAGTGGGTGAGTTTGGTTTTACACCGCACTCAGCAATATTCCAGTTATATGGCGGCGGTCTGTAAATAATCAAGTCTGGACCAGACAATCCCGTGATCAACAGCATGAGAATCGATCTACGCAACTGGGATACGATGACATGAGTCAACCAAGTCAGCGAGCTTGACCACCCGCTTGCGAAATATTTATGTTTTGTATATCACTGAACAAGCTCCATACAGCGAAAGGTCTAAAACAGTTGTGAACCGAGTTGAGAAATTCAACATCAAAGGTGACACAACTCTGTTCAGACTACTGCTCCGCGTTTTCAGCCGACCAGTCAGGCAGACACCAACTGATGGTAATCACTGGGAAGGGTCTCCACAGCTCCGATGGCGTTGCTAAGACACGTCCGGTGGTAATCGGCTATCTCAGGAAAGCATAAATACAAGTTAACTAACTTTTCTTATGGCACACCGTTCGGAATAGCCCGACATGCCTTGTTCGAATAGCCCGTCAAGGGTGTTCGAACGCAACGGAAAGTATAAAAAATATTATGTGAATTATTTATCAGCAACAGGATTGGTGGACAGGATTTACTTGCCTTTGCGCGTTAATATGATTCCCACTGAACGGTTCTTTGTTTAGTACTACGTTTTGCTTCATATAATAAAACACAACAGGAATTAGGCGTGGTATGGTGTTAGCTGTTCGGTAATACCCGCCACCGCTCAATGTCTAAACATGAATTTTAAAATGTATTGGTATCTTACGTGATGACCATGAGTTACGCATCATAGCATATGGAATCGTGTTCTGGTGGCATTGTGTGTAGGTTAATCTCCCTTACAAGGCAGTTATTTAAATAACTACCTTAGTGAGGGTGATTAAACGACTTACACCACAAGGGCATACTTAGTTAATACGCGTGTAGTGTATTAGGCCTGATGAAGATTATCAAAATGAGTACAAATTTATTGTTTTAAATAGAAATAATTGCCCTAGGGCAGTTATTCAGTTATGCTAATAAAACACTCCCAGGAACAATGGACATAACTTTCCCCTGGTGGTTTAAGTGGATTATCGCCCGTCAGCTGGCCGATTGTGTTAGATCCTGCCCTGCTGATATATATCACGTGTCCTCAGTTCAACAATCACGTGTACTGGCAGCTTGATCGCATTGCGCATGCGTGACATTGTGCGCTAATGGAGTTAGTTATTCCTTTATCGGCTAACCATCTGCCTAATCTAGGATCTCTCCTTGTAGAAGTCGAAATCATGTTGGTGTACCTTGCTATCCAAAGGATTAAAACGACATTTTCATGTTAGCTTAACTGTAGTCTGTCATACAGACCTTTGAAGCAAATATAGCCAAGAAATCCCACGCAAGTCTAGAAAATGTGGCAAGTCTAGATTTCCACAGCTTCAGGCTGAAAATGAAGAAAGTCTCAGGGCTCCTTTTCATTATACATATATTTTTTTTCACTATGAGCTTTTTCTGTAAAATATGTTCATTTCAGAGACTAGTTGTTACTTTAGCTTGACTGGTCTGCACGTAGTTATCCTGTTCAAGGGGGCTGTGGTGTAGCCTAGTGGTTAAAGCGTTCGCTCATCACGCCGAAGACCCGGGTTCGATTCTGGGGTCCCTGCCGTGATATTGCTGAATATTGCTATATCACTCACTTACTCATGTCCTTTTCAGGCACAACAAACGCAGCCTACACTCCTGGATATGGTCCGGCGCAAGTAGCATACCCTCCGACTCCAGCAGCATACCCCCGGCTCCAGGGGCATACCCGCCGGCTCCAGGGGCATACCCACCGGCTCCAGCCTACACTCAAGCAGCCTATCCCCAGAGAAGCAGGAAGGTACCCGCCCCCACAAAATGCAGCATACCCACCCACCCCACAAGGTGGAGTGAACCCGCCCGCACAAGAAGCTGCCTGACCCTTCAAATATGAAGTTTCCAAGCCGTTAGCCCTTGGGAACAATACAATACCCAAATATACTACCCATCAAAGTTTATACTCACTTAAAACATTCACTATATGTTGTGTATGTACATATGGTTACAACGAAGAAGAATTTCTCCACTAACTTTGGGGAAACAATTGCAAACGTTTTGCAGATTAATTGCACGAGGATCATGCATCAAACTGCTGAAACGTATATGCAAATATCGTGCATGTGAACAGCTGCGTTTTGGTGTAAAGTTTTGATAAGAATTCGCCATTTTAACGGAGTTTCATCATTTATTGAACGCATGACAATAATCTTTTCAACGTCATGAATTTGTTTTACAATACATCAGTTCATGTATAAACAGCACATTAAACAGTATGGAATATTTTGCAAAATTTAGTTTAGAACAGTTTCCGAAAGTAAGTGGCTACATGTTCACTAGTGAGTCTAACATTTTGATGGGCAGTATAATAACATAGTAACTGTTACCTTAACTCCCGATGTAGACTCATACTGATAGGTATGCTGATTTTTCTACCGCGCCATTCAATAAATATATGAAAGGTATATATTATTTGATTTTATGTTTTCCGTCGATTATATGATTAGCCCCATGAAGGGACGGTTGGGTAGTTTTGCGGTTAAAGCGTTCGCTCGTCCCGCTGAAGACCCGCTTCGATTCCGTACGTTGATACATAGTGGGAAACCAATTTCTAGTGTCCCCGTCGTGTTATTGTGTGAACATTGCTGAAAGCGGCGCAAAAGTAAACTCACACCATGAAAAACGTTTTGAGCAAACAATGATGATGTCACAAAAATAACCACATACGTATCGAAGGTTTTTATCTCATAGCAGCATGTTTTGTTTTTACAAATTCCAATCTGCAGTTCAATCTGCAGTGATGTACATATATAACCCATCACGTATAATACTTAACACCTTTGTACCATCAAAAGTGATTTGTTTTATAAACCGGCTTAAACCATATTCCAGATGAGAGAGGTCTTGGTTGTCATGCAGAAGCTGTCATATTGGTGTTTGTCTTTATATGCAGGACAAATAAGTTGTTGACTTTTTGCACACTGTGATGAAACATATCGGTTTGAACATTTTAACAATAAAAATATTTTTCGACTTCAGACTTCACGTTTTTTCAGTCAATGACACGAGCAATACATGGTGGATTAAGTGGGGACACTACACAGTGTAATTAAGTGGGGACTAACTCTGTTATTACTACACATTGTAAGTGGGGGTTTAAATCTGTTATCACGACACATTGTAAGTGGGGGACTGCCTGTGTTATCACGACACATTGTAAGTGGGGGACTGGCTGTGTTACCACGACACAATGTGAGTTAGGGACTAACTCTGTTATCACTACACGTTGTAAGTGCGGGACTAACTCTGTTAATACTACACGGTGTAAGTGGGGGACTAACTCTGTTATTACTACACAGTGTAAGTGGGGACTAACTCTGTTATCACTACATATTGTAAGTGGGGAATAACTCTGCAATTACTATATTTTTACAAGCTGGGACTAACTCTGTTATGACTACACATTGTGAGTGGGAAATAACTCTGTAATTACTATATATTGTAAGTGAGAACTAACTCTCTATCACTACACATTGTAAGTGGGGACTAACTCTGTTATCACTACACATTGTAAGTGAGGAATAACTCTGTTAATACTAAACCGTGTAAGTGGGGACTAACTCTGTAAATACTATATTTTTTACAATTGAGGACTAACTCTGTTATTACTTCACATTATGAGTGGGAAAAACTCTGTAATTACTATATATTGTAAGTGGGAATTATTTCTGTTATCACTACACGTAAAGTGGGGACTAACTATGTTATCACTAGACATTGTAAGTGAGGACTAACTCTGTTATTACTACCCATTGTGAGTAGGGGCTAACTCTGTTAATACTAAACCGTGTAAGTGGGGACTACCTCTGTAAATACTATATTTTTTTACAATTGAGGGACTAACTCTGTTATCACTACACATTGTAAGTGGGGAATAACTCTGTTATTACTAACCATTGAGAGTGGGGAATAACTCTGTAATTACTATATATTGTAAGTGAGGACTAACTCTGCTATCACTACATATTGTAAGTGGGAAATAACTCTGCAATTACTATATATTGAAAGTGGGGACTAACTCTGTTATTACTATACATTGTGAGTGGGGAATAACACTGCAATTACTATATATTGTAAGTGAGAAATAACTCTGTTATCACTACACATAGTAAGTGGAGACTAACTCTATTATCACTACACATTGTAAGTGGGGAATAACTCTGTAATTACTATATATTTTTACAAGTGGGGACTAACTCTGTTATTACTAGACATTGTGAGCGTGGAATAACTCTGTAATTACTATATGTTGTAAGTGGGGACTTATTCTGTTATCACTACTCGGAAGTGGGGACTAACTCTGTTATTACTACATATTGTGAGAGGGAATACCTCTGTAATTATTATATATTGTAAGTGAGGACTAACTCTGCTGTTACTACACATTGTGAGTGGGGAATAACTCTGTAATTACTATACATTGTAAGTGAGGACTAACTCTGTTATCAATACATATTGTAAGAGTGGGAATAACTCTGCAATTACTATACATTGAAAGTGGGGACTTACTCAGTTATTACTATACATTGTGAGTGGGGAATAACTCTGTAATTACTCTATATTGTAAGTGAGAACTAACTCTGTTATCACTACACATATTAAGTGGGGAATATCTCTGTTATCACTACACATTGTAAGTGGGGAATAACTCTGTAATTACTATATATTGTAAGTGGGGACTAATTCTGTTATCACTACACGTAAGTGGGGACTAACTCTGTTATTACTACATATGTTGAGAGGGAATAACTCTGTAATTACTATATATTGTAAGTGAGGACTAATTCTGCAATTACTACACATTGTAAGTGGGGAATAACTCTGTTATTACTACGCATTGTAAGTGTTGACTAACTCTGTTATTACTTCACATTGTGAGTGGGGAATAACTATGTAATTACTATATATTGTAAGTGGGAAATAACTCTGTTATCACTACACTTAGTAAATGGGGAATTACTCTGTTATTACTTCAGATTGTGAGTGGGGAATAACTCTGTAATCACTGTATATTGTAAGTGGGGACAAACTCTGTTATTACTACACATTGTGAGTGGGGAATAACTCTGTAATTACTATATATTGTAAGTGAGGGGACTAATTCTGTTATCACTACACGTAAGTGGGGACTAACTCTGTTATCACTACACATTGTAAGTGTGGGGAATAACTCTGTAATTTCTATATTTTTTAAAAGTAGGGACTAACTCTGTTATTACTACATATTGTGAGTGAAGAATAACTGTGTAATTACTATATATTGTAAGTGGGGACTAACACTGTTATCACTACACGTAAGTGGGGCTAACTCTGTCATCACTACACATTGTAAGTGGGGAATAACTCTGTAATTACTATATTTTCACAAGTGGGGACTAACTCTGTTATTACTACATATAGTCTGTGGGGAATAACTCTGTAATTACTATATATTGTAAGTGGGGATTAATTCTGTTATCACATCACGTATGTGGGGACTAACTCTGTTATCACTACACATTTGTAAGTGGGGACTAACTCTGTTATTACTACACATTGTCAGAGGGGAATAACTCTGTAATTACTATATGTTGTAAGTGGGGACTAATTCTGTTATCACTACACGTAAGTGGGGACTAACTCTGTTATCACTACACATTGTAAGTGGAATCTGGGAATAACTCTGTAATTTCTATATTATTTTTTTACAAGTAGGGACTAACTCTGTTATTACTACATATTGTGAGTGAAGAATAACTCTGTTATTACTATATATTGTAAGTGGGGACTAATTTTTGTTATCACTACACACATTTGTAAGTAGGTGACAAACTCTGTTAATACTATAATATTACAATATATAGTAATTACCGTGTTATTCCCCACTCACAATATGTAGTAATAACAGAGTTAGTCCCCACTTGTAAAAATATAGTAATTACAGAGTTATTCCCCACTTACAATGTGTAGTGATAACAGGGTTAGTCCCCACAGACAATATATTGTAATTACAGAGTTATTCCCCACTCACAATGTGTAGTGATAACAGAGTTAGTCGCCACTTGCAATGTGTAGTGTTTACACAAGTTATTGCCCACTTACAGTATGATAGTGATATACAAGAGTTAGTTCCCTCACTTACAAGATATAGTAAATACAGAGTTATTCTCCTCCTCACAATGAGAAGTAACAACAGAGTTAGTCCCCATGTACAATGTTTAGTAATTGCAGAGTTATTCCCCACTTACAATATGTAGTGATAACAGAGTTAGTCCCTCACATACAATATATAGTAATTACAGAGTTATTCCCCACTTACAATTTGTAGTGATAACAGAGTTAGTCCTCACTTACAATGTGTAGTAATAACAGAGTTAGTCCCCCACTTACACCGTGTAGTATAACGGTAGGACTAACTCTGTTATCACTACAAATGATAATGATCTATAACTATAATGATCTGGTTATTGCAGATACAGAATCGCGTTGATACTTTGAATACAGTTAAAAAGTAAACTGAATAAAAAAACGTATGTGTTTATATTTTAAAGATAAACAAAGTATCAATGAATTCATCAGACAATGCCTCTGAGGGATTTAAAGTGGGTCAGATAAATCTGCATTTCATGGACACCCTATAAAATAGACTTTTTATCTCGAACCTGACTATTTAAGAAACATTATAGGCTGACCAGTACTTACTAGGAATAACTGGGATAGGTCACCCCGGATAATATCTACTTCACATGTGTCTCTGGGTGTTAGCTTAAAGGCACTATATCACACCACACTTCTCTGAAAATGAATAATGCATGTCTCTCGCAATAAAAATATCTCTCAGACCCCAGGGAAGCTACCATATAATTTATTCAAAAAGAAATTACGTATTTAGATTACAATATGAGTTTATATAGTTCGAGTGAATTCATGCAACGTTGCACTAAAGCCTCTCTAGCGCCCTCTACCGCCTGAACATTATTTCAAGCGCCCCATAGAGTTATGTCCCTTAGAGCTCTCTTTCCGATTATTACCCATACGGGTGAGAGGAGATCCTGTGTAATATCTTTTGATATTTGAACAGTGTGCAATTTAGTGATTCTCGACGTTGATTGGTTGATCGTATATTTGTACATTTTCATTGGATGCCGGAACTACTTTCACACGCTACGTTCATTTCATAAAGTTTCATCGATTCATTGATAAATTGACATTAAGTAATGTAATCACACATTCCGAGATCTAAAAAAGAAGACATTAAGGTTAAAGAATATGAATATTCTTTTATTAGACGTTATTATTTTGGAATAAAACTGTGTTATAAATAGTAGTCTTTTTTAAATTATATAATCTTTAAAACCCCACCAAACAATCGTTTGCATTGTTTGTAAACAAACATAGCCGCCGTTTGGCTAACCCCGATCAAGATCACGATCACTTACCTAGTTAAAGTTGACGGTGACCAAATAGGTAGAGTGATAAGAATTTTACAGCCCTTGAATTCCCAAAACCTGTTTGTTGTTGAAACTGAATTCGGGGAAATAGAAACAGCAAGATACCGACGAAAGATGTTATCTGAAGGTGTGACAAGTAAGTCGGACACGGCGTCCATGCCATCAATCCTGAGAAACAGCTAGTTTCTTACCGGAATCAGTGCTAAATGTTCTTCTTCAAGATGACTTTTATATCCATGCATTCCTAATCAATCTGACAGGTTGGTCCCAGTAGCCGATGCAGAGATTGACACATTTCATAGACTCGGATTCCGACTAGAGTTATCCTTCTTGGAACTGCCGTACTCTACTAAGACGAGAGTGTAGTTACGCCTTCCACAGAACAAAATGTTGTTTAATCTTCAAACTTGTTGAGTTTCTTGACAGAAAACGTTTTCTAGATGTATTCGTGGGATGGTTGTATTTTAGATTTCCTTAACTTTTTAACCGTTGACTTTCCCAAAATTGACAGGTTTTGCCAGAGTGTGTTTCAACGCTACACCGTCACCCGTCACTAGAAAACACGTCATTCATGAATGAACGATGTTCCGTCGCACTGACTTGATCGAATAAATGTTTAGCTCTTATTAAGTTCAATGATATATTTAAAAGATCATATTAACAAATGTTAATTAATTATTCCAGGCATAATAATTTTGTTGTATTTTAAAGCGATTTTATGATGTACTATTTCCATAGCGTAGTTATGTTATTACCCCTGGAAAAGTTAGGTTTAATACGCGCATGAATACGAATCAGCTGTTTAAGGTCCACAAGTCCTGTCTCCGGGTGTTTTTATTTCGTGGTTCTTCCTTTTAAATTACATTATGGGTAATAAATAGAATAACCAACGAGGTACGAGTGATTACAGGAAATATGCCCTCGTTAAAATAATGTTCAGTGCCTCGCCAAGGCTCGGCACTGTGAACATTATTTCAACTCGGGCATATTTCCCGTAATCACTCGTACCTCGTTGGTTATCTCTCTAAATATCCTACACACAACTTGTGATTCAAACCAGTTTGGAAAACAACGACAACACCGCTAGCGACTGTTTTTGATGTACGGAGCAATTTTTTACACTCCATATATGGCAAGAGTACTTTGTTTGGAAGCTGTTCGCCTCGAAGTTTCAATTATCGATTTCAGGCAAGTCGTAACGGATAATACGGTTTTTATTGCATCAATAGGAAGCTAAAAATAGTGCGTATGCCCCAATATATATAATATAGGCCAAATATCGTGGAAAATATGTGATATTGTGCCTTTAACGAGAAACATTACGCCAAGTATTAAATTATGAATCGTCCTTGTCTTCGCGCAATCAATATTTGCATATCATGGATAATAATGTATTGTACATATATTACTGGTTTAACTTGTGTTCGGCGCTATTCTTACTGCGTTCCTTCAGGATAGAAGCATGAGAAGCTAACAAAGTATATATTATAAAGTCCCACAGCCAAACTGACACGTGCTTTTGCTGTTGATAAATACTTACAAGACGAAAAAGGCGAAAACATTCTGTAAGCATCGTCTGTGAGGGAAAGATTGTCAACGAGGTCCTTGCCTTTTGCTTCAGAGGACAGTTTGTTGAGTTGTTGGGCTTACTGGAAATATTTACTGGAATCCCGGAATTTAATGACAGGTTAATGAAACAGTTTACATTAGGACTTCGTTAGACAATGGTATGCTAATAAGTGTTTGACACAGCCGATTTTAATGATGTCAGTCACAAAATCTAATGCAGCATTAGGGGTTTAATGTAGCTCTTACTTAATGAAGCAATGATACAACCGGATCCGAACACTTCATTTCATTTTTGTCACTATGGTTTGTAAAACTTTTAGGTGTGTGTCATTCAAATTGTACATGCTCCTTCATACACAGCCCCCCCGAAACGCTCAACTGTCTTCTCTTGGTCGTTTGTATGGAAAAGATGGCAAAATTAACGGAAGCGCGACAATGCAACATTTTGGCCATTTGTCGAGGTTTGAAATATGAAATATTAAAATATTTGTTCTTCAACGAAAGGGCGACAATGTGACATCGCGACAGTTTTCAATGTCAAACTATATCGCGTTGACATCCTATCTAAGATGTATAAACAAAACGTTGGAATGCGCGACAGAGCGACAGTTGGTCAAAATGTCGCGTTGATCGTATTATCACATTTTGGTTAATCATGCCACTTTTGGATCGTTTTGTACGGGCGACAACGCGACAATGTCTCTTCTAGTAATTCATACTTTTGAATACGGGGAACAACGTGCTTATCAACTGTTTGACAATTTGATATTCCCTATTCGGAAAGAATTCTTGGTCTGCGTGTTTATAACCAAAATACTTCAAACAAACTGATATATCAAACATTTCTTTCCTTTTCCCGACCACTGCTCATTTTAGTCGAAATTCGTATAATGAACTACAGTTATAACGAGCTAAAATTAGTGGTCCTTTTGATATCGTTACATCCGTTGTTAAGTGGTGCATTTGTGATATATATATTTTATTTGTTAATGTTTATTTTTGAGTATTAGGACTGGTATAATTAATTTATTATTATTATTATTATGTTTTACAGATTAAAGATGAAAATGCAGCAGAGAGGGTTCGAGTGATCCTGGCACAGTCAGGCTGGTAAGGCTCATCATCAGCTTTTAGTCCGCAATTTTATCATGCTTTTCCTGAATCTTGTCAATCACATTGCTGTCAAAAGGGACAGAAAATGATTATTATTATCATTATTATTATAATTATAATATATTATTATGGGATATTGATATAGCGACATAGGCACGCAACTTGTACATGCTCAAGACGCTGGTATTTTCCCCTCGGTCATTGGATGTCAGTCTCAACGGTATCAATCTCAACTCCCTGAGTTCACACAACTCTTGCAGCCATTAGGCGCACAGAGTAAATGTGGCTTTCCAATCCTTATCGAACACATGTGGGTATGGTTATACTGGTATTATTAGGTAATGGTCTGATGCTTGGTCTATCGAACACACATTCGGGTAAAAGCATAAAATCCTTCTTAAGCCATATTATAATAATCATGATCGACAATGATGCGACCTCCGCATTTTGGGATCCACTTTGTGTCTGAAATAGAAAAGAATACTATAAGCAAACGAACAAACCGTTAACTAACTTACATGTTATCACATAATTGGAACTGGGGTACCCAGTAGATAAAGCTTCCCCTAGTCAATGGTTTGAATCCTTACATGGTTACAGTGAAGCCCGTTTCACGTACACAGTTGATTACAGTTGTATTTCTAAAGGGTTTATCAATCAAGGCAGACGCAACACCATTTCCTGAGATGCAGGGTACGTGGGTGGGTATCTAAAGCGGTACTGAGTTCGAATCCCAATATGTCACGTTAATTTCTGGTGGCCCCCACCATAGCATTGCTGAATCATTGTTTGAAGTGGGTAAAAACCATGAAAGAAATCAACCACTCTCTCTTGTTAAAGGTCAAGCTGCACCAGGCTTAACATAAATCTTTTCAGTTAATTCAAAGCAAACGCTTTACCCACATACTGTGTGTCGGTATCCTTGAATACTGATCTCCTACCTCGATACTGCGGTTGTCTGTGTGTGAGTGAGTGGGCTTTAACGTCTGTACGTTGTTGGTGACACAGGACACAATACATTGGCTTCACACATTGTACCAATGTTGGGAATCGAACCCGGGTCTTCGGCATGACTAGCGAACCCTTTAACCACTTGGCTATCCCTCCGCCCCGTTGCCTATCTTTGTAAAGCATCATCATATCACTCAGCAGATATTGAACAATCATCAGAACTCACTCAGGCCAGTTGATATTTCACTGTAGAGTGAGTGAGTGGATCGTGAGTGAGTGAGTGAGTGACCGAGCGAGCGAGTGAGTGGATGAGTGAGTGAGTGAGCGAGCGAGCTACATTTCGGTGGATGCAGATGGTAACTACTATAGTGCGTGGGTATGGTGCTGACGAACAAAGTTAGTGAGTGAGATGGGTTTAACGCCGCCTTTAACACTTTACAGTTATACCACCATGTCAGTTTATTGTAGAAGGTAGCCTCATGGCGCCAGTCTCAGACCTTTACCACTTCGGTGAAATCCACGGTGAACCGGCATTCAAAGCCACAATTCTAAGGTTCCTGGTGTGATCAAGGGACGCAACTCTGCAAGCTAATTGCGACAGCAACCCAGACATTCTGAAGGATCAGGGGTCATAGTCGGCGCGAATCAAGAATTCGAACCAATTATCATTAGATTAGATTATGGCACGGCCGAAGGGCACCCAATGCAAAACGAACTGCAGAGCCTCGGGTCCCGCTTTTTTGGATAAAAAGGAAGATTTGTAAAATGTAACGTCATCACTAACTTGTAGCCGTTTTTTTCTCAGTTGTTTCTCGACGACCGGCTTCAGAACAGGACGCCCGTCACGGCTGTGATTCCCTTTCCCTGTGATGATTGACGATGTCTTTTTTGTCCTGCCAGTTGAACTGCTGCGTTGTTCTGGAAAAAAAGTCGATGTTTTATGGGCTATAGGTTTGGTTTTAGTTCTGGCCAAAATTGAAATATCTTATGATTTGTTTCCGAAAAAAATAAAGTAACTATTTTTCTTTCTTAATCTGATACGTTTTTGGTCAAAGGATGGCTACGTATATATAACAGCACTAACACAAGAAAATAACAAATTTCCTTGTGAGAAACCTGTGGGATGCGAGAGCTTTGTGGGGAAATCCTGAGATAATGTTTTACAATACACCTGGATTTCCCCATCATACAAAAAATATAAATGAAAAGTATATTTAAAAACACATTAGAAAACATATTTGAAATGAAACTTTTGATATTGTGTTCTTATGTAATCGAAATATTTTGCAATCCAAAAATTAAAAAAATCCAAAGTTGAAAATGACAGAGGAAAGAACTCGCTAAATCTTTCATAATAATGTTTGCTTGTTACCTAAATTACATTCTGTTGGACAAAAGGACCCTTAGCAAAACCTTATTCATAATTTGTTTTCAGTGTTAGTTAATTATATTATAAAACCACACAATGTTCCTATTTGTGTAAAAGCAATTCAATTAAAAATATGGTGTTAATTAGTGTGCTAGGGTCTCTGGTGGTATATAGTACAGTCAGGTTATACAAAATATATAGTCTCCGTTGTCTGGTTAATAGAGGGCATGAAAATCGGTGGTTCGGAAGCCTGGCTGCTGTATATGAAAAGACGTTAGAAGATGGAACCTGCGCACCTGCCCTCTCTGATTCTTGACTAGTAACTAAACTGACGAACAGAAGGAAGTACACTTCTGTAGGGTATTTTTCCATATTCTTTTAAAAACAAACAACTTCAATATTTTGAAAAGATTTTCATTGTGGAAGTCACAATCATTGTGTACATTGGTTTGTGTAGTTTAGAACGGAGTTTGCTAGGAGCACTTGAGGGAAGGTATCGATCCATGGTTAACTGAAGCACGTAATATCAGTGAGTTGGCACTGTAACACCGGGAGAACTAGTACTAGCGCGCACACACACATACGCACGCGCGCACACATAACACACATACACACATTTACCTTGTTTCTTTTCGTTCAGGAACTTTTCAACACGAGACCGCGCACTCTTAACAGATTCCCCGTGAAGGTCAAGGGTATTTGAAGTCGGAACTGGTTAAAAATAAACAATAAATCGTAAAACGACGAAGATATGACATAAGAACGTACATATATTTAAATATTAACCCTTCATATGCACAAACGGTGTACATTGTTTCCCTCCCTTCAACACATAGGAAACAGGTGTTTCGATCAACAAAATACGACTTAACGGATCAGGTAGTTAGCTGATTGCAGGTCAGGGTGCCCTAACGAGGTCGAACCTTATTCATAACATCAACCACCGGTTTATGTGGTCAGGATTCCATGGTTTACCTACCGCAGGTACAACGACTGGAACAAATCTGAGAGTTCTGGTTTAATCAATATACATCTCAATAATTATTAGCAGATGACGATGGAACACATTTAACTGTCTCATTACATTTACCTTTTTGGTACTTTATGTTTCCTCTATTTGTCTTGACACTTCGTGCTTTGGTGTTCCGTTTTCTGTGGATGAGAAATATAGAACCATTATGAAATTAACTTAACGTCAGTAGTGGACAACCTCATATAACATATTAACCACACTACTATATGTAGTATATCGTATACATTCAATCATTTGAAGCGTCGGTTGGTAGCCAAGTGGTTAAAGCTATAGCTCGTCACGCTGAAGACCCAGGTTCGATTCCACACATGGGTACAATGTGTGAAGCCCATTTTGGTGTCCCCAGCCGTGATATTGCTAAAAGCGGCATGAAAATACACTCACTCACTTAATCATTTGAAGCTTAACAGTTGGTTGGTTGTTTGGTTTTATAGTCTTAGGGCGACGTGGGCCAATAAGAGGCCTATTTGCGCCCAATACATTGACTTGATTTAGTAAACAATCATAGGTAATTTCATCGCCGAAAGGAATCGTTTAGTTAAGATAAAAGAAACGACAACACTAATTTTTTGATAGATGTATATATATGTCGAATAACCTCTGCTTTGTGTTACGGATAAAGAAAACATTAAGTAATCACTTCCATTTCTGAAACATGAAATACTCATTCATTAAAAAGCAGTAGGTTCAGATGACAGAGTGTTAAAATGATTTAAAACCACAGAACTAAGCCATTCGAGAGCCTGGCTAGATTACATCATATTTTCCAGATGACGAGACAAAATCTAAAACTGCCCGTTGCACAGACCCATACATGATATTGGGGCCCAAAACTGTTTCTAATGAAAATACATCATCAACCCCAAGTACAGCACTTCTGAGATTATGTCTTATGTTGTTATGCCCAGGGCATGTAAGTAGATAAAGTTCGATGTTTTCAGGCGTCTCCAAATTGCAATGGCCACATTTAGAAGAGACCGTCTTATCTATAATACTCCTGTAAGCATTTAGCCCACAGTGTCCAAGTCAGAGACGTGAAAGAATAACCTCATTACGCCTTTACGACGACGAATTTTATGACCAGATTTTAGTGATGGTCTAAGTTTGTACATATGACGGCCGGTAGTACCTGTATCCCACAACTGTTGCCAACTCCTTTGTAACAGATTTCGATAAAACATTTTCAAAATCTTTAGGGATTGGTTGAAATTTAAATAAATCAACTTCAAGAAACTGCAACCCGGATTTGGCCAAATTATCTGCAATCTCATTCCCATGTATTCCAACATGTGCTTGGACCCACACAATGTCGCATTCAATGTAATTTCATGTTTAAGATGTATCCAACTTTAATATCTCATGAACAATGTCATCTCTAGATCCATTTGCTCCAGCTTCTATAGCTTTGATTGCTGCCATGGAATCTGTAAAGATAATTGCGTCATGGTCATGTTCATCTACCCACCTCAATGCTTGCAAAATGGACAAAAGTTCAGGTGCAAAACAGAAAGATAATCAGGAATCCGAACACCTTGGCGATCGATAAATTGGGTATCCAAAAGCCCCAGCAGTACGATCATTGGATGGCTCTGTCGATGCATCAGTGTATATATGTGTAAATTTAGAATAATTTTCAGACAGAAAGTCTTGAGTGATCACTTTTATTATGTTTTGGTCCATTCTCTTCTTCACGATTAAATTGAGTTCAGAATTCAATCCAGGCTACAGCAGAAGCCGCGGAGGTGTGACAGGCGGAGGAGCAGAAGGATCAACTGGGTTACAGTTGTAAATACCATGTTGATCAGCTAATCTCTGAATATTCAAGCCAAAGGGTAATTTGCCATGAGTCCAGTCACACATGACATATTCCACACAGTCATTAACAATCTCAGTGACGACTGCATGGTGTTTGTTCTTGGTTTAGCTTAACAGTTGTGACACCAAAGAGTTATCTCCCTTTGGCTGGTGAGCGGTGCAATGAGGTGTCGATGCTATCCAAGAAGGTAAGTGTATTCAAACACGAGTCAGATAGCCCAGTACTGATCACTTCATTGACGCGTTGCATCCCTCAGTTGAACTTTGCTTGCCCCGATGAGAAAATGATTTCAGGGAATATTGCAATTGTTTCTTCATACTCGTGACATTTTTCCATTCAAGAAATAACTTGTTTTAGCCCGGCAATATTCCAGCAATATCGCGGCTGTTGACACCAGAAATGGGCTTCACACATTGTACCCATGTGGGGAATCGAACCCGTTCCTTCGGCTTGACGAGCGAGCGCTTTAATCACGAGGTTACCCCACCTCCCAATCCTGAATTGTACTCACAAAGTCCTTTTGAATTTGTCGTAAGTGGCGACTAACGGGATCGGGTTGTCAGGCTCACTGGACTTGGTTGACACATGTCACCGTATCCCAATTCCTCATGATCACTGGATTGTCTGGTCCATATTAATTACAGACCGCCGCCATATAACTGGAATATTACTGTGTGCGGCCAAAACAAACCAATCTTCGCGGAGGCTTTCGTGCAAGGTACAGCTAGGTTCTTGACAGGAACAAAGCCTACCCTGATAGGGCCGACAACTCTATAGTCTTGGGGGGAGGTGTGTGCCTGTCTCTAAGAGGGGTGGGGGAGCTGTCCGGTATTTGTTTGGACAGTACTAAACTAGTGCTTAAAAGAAAGTATACAGTGTTTCATCAAACGTGAAAAGAAAACGAAAGCATATGTACAAAAACATCTGCTTAATTTCAATAGAGTATTCAATTCTACAGCAAATATACAGTATATATATGCTGTATGAGACCTTTGCGTTATCGTGTTGGTAGACAATGCCACGTGCTTGTTAAGCTGGATAAATGGCAAAACTTCATCCCTGTATCTTCGAGCATTCAGGTTGCCATAGATAACCACAAGTCTAATTTTGAAATCGCTGTATTTTTTGCGACGTTCAGGCGATTCGTTAACTTGTTTCGCTTTTGTCCAAGGGAAAGGATGGGTCTATACGTGGATGACATGGCTCAGTATGGTTTCATCACTATGTAATGTTTATATCTTTGTGAATTGTCTTTGCTGTAAATACTTTTACGTCCATATCTTATTTTAGTCTTTTTGTGAGTAGAAAATAAAAACGAATGAAACAAAGGGAAGCCATATCAGACATGATCACTTCAGATTATTCCGAATATTTTTCTTTTCCGTTTCCTTTTCAATGCTTGTCTAAAGTATTTAAAACACACCGGTGATTGTTATCCTCTCTAAAATTACGATTGTGAATAGATTCTAATATGTTTTTTTTACTTTTAATTTCTCCTTGTTCAGTCGACCTCGCTCTGAAAGAAATCTTTCGGAAGCACGTATTTCTCATTTCGATTTTCTAGATATACACAAAACCCTCTCGTTTGCTATAGTTAATATTTGCACTGGGTATATGTGTTGAAATTTTATTTACTCTTTGTAAATGTACGAATTACCGAAGTAATAATTCTACACGAAATAGACACAGGAATCGAAGCCACATCAAACATGTCTTTCTGAACGTATCTAAGTTTATTTTTTGCACTGCGTACATGTAGTTTTTCATATTCGAAAATATCGGTAGAAATACTAAATTAATTTTTCTATATATACTTAATTTGAAGTTAGTAGATTTTGTGGTGGATAAGGTGTCTGCAATGAACAAAGACAATTTTTACCTGTCTCCATATCTAGTCTTAAAGATTTTCAAAATTAAAAATAATTGTTCCAAACTTTTGTGTATATTTATCTGATTTTACCCTAATTTATCCTCAACTGAAATGTAATAAAAGTGTGAATTTTTTTCTGTGTGTGAAAAAGTACTTTCATTAGTACAACGTATTTTTACTCTTCTTATTTTCTTACTATTCAAAGGATGTTTTCTTATTACCAAATTACAAAATACAATAAATTTTGGCTGGAAATAAAACTGACTTGTATGTGCATTTCAGACCCGATGTAGAAGATTCAGAACTTGTTTGCTATGACATTGACAAGTGGTTGTCATCCAGTGCACCAAGCTACTTATGGTCAGCATGAATGCTAAGTCTTCTACTGACATTGACTTGAGGAAATGTGTGGCCAAGTTCTAGGCACGAAAGAAGAGGAGAATATGAACGAATAATTTATGAACTTGCATCAAAGCATGCCAAACAGACCCAAATTATGTCATCCACAGTAAATTATTGAACCCTTAATTGTTGTGCCTTTTTTGTTTGCTGAATGCCCTTTTGAATTTTAAAGTGCCCTTTTTTCTCTGAGTCTACCCTGCCCTTTCATAATCCTGGGGAAACACTATAACATTTTGCGGTGTACAATTCCTTTTCGTGCACTAGATTATTTACAATCAGTTCCTATTTTCAAAATAGCGTTAAACCGTGCATCCTAACGGGGATATTGACACTGTTCTAAGGATCTGCTGTAATGGCGATGCCAAATAACCAACTGCCAGGTGGCACCAATGTGTAATATTCTCATGTTAACTGAGATTTATAAATAAATATGTAGTTTTTTTAGGGGTTTAGACCCGAAAAGAAAGCATTTCATCTCTTATCCACGTTGACGTCACATGTATAATTATGGGAAGTTAAATGGATCGGGTGGTCAGGCTCAAGCAAAGCCCTCTCTGACCAAACCTGGTTTTATTTATAACGTATGTTCTATTTGGGATTACAATTTCTTAGTAAAGTACAGATTCGAGTACTTTTGGGTTGAGTCCCATCCGGGATTCGAACCCACACCCTCAGAGTCAGGCACCCAATCGCCAGCACACAAAGTCAGACGCCTAGCTATAGACCGCTCAGCCACCGCGGCTTCCACAAAAATGGAAGTCGGGCAACTGGTAGTCTAGACTGCGGACTTTGTCTCTGATAAATGTTAATTGGCACGGCTCCAACGGCCGAAAGCTATGAAATTCATGTTAATGTCATTTTTAGAAAGTGGTCAAATGTAACGTATGTTATATTTGGGACTACACTTTCTTAGTCTAGGCGTCTGACTTTGTGTGTAATCCCAAATATAAACATACGTTACATTGGACCACTTTTCAAACATGGCATTGTGTATTTCACTGGTTTTATTTGTTTTAGCTTGAGAAGTAATATTGGTAATTTCAAAGGTACTTACCTACGCCGCGCACAACACACACAACCGATGATGAAGATTAGCGACACTACAACTGCCGCAGTAATGTAGATCAGTGTCCATGGTATATCTGCCATTGTGTTGATACAGCTGTTTTCTGTTCTAACTGATTTGAATCAAAGCCGTTAGCTCGACATAAAAGAAATAATCGCAGTATGGCATAAACGAAACCATGATAGATTTTATTCATTGGGAAAATCCCATGCTATAATTAGTAATAGCTCATAATTGACAGAAAAAAATAACCAATCGGAAAACGACAAGTCTCTCCATTCCATTCGCCACCACTCGCCCCTTTTCCGTAACCAGTGCGGAATAACGCGAGATCGTTCGTGACCAACTCGTGTTATTCCGGGACAAGCCGAATAGCGGTTACGGAAAGATGCGAGTGGTGACGAATGCCTCAGAAACGGACAATAGAAATTTGGCGCATGCGAACATGTCAGCTCGCTACCGTTGAAACAAGACTTGATCGAACGGGTAGCTGGACTATTATTATCTAATTCTATGCTCATACAAACATGATAGTTACATTTCTATCCGGGGAAATCATCTGGAAGTACATCGATATCAACTTTGCAGTCGTGGGAAATATTTTTAAATAGCTCAAAATAACGAGGGTAGGCCTAAGAGGCCACTAGAATCTGAATAGGATTAAAGATGGTGGTGTTCACGGCCGCGATACAGGATCATGTCTAGACTTCATAGGGCCGCATCGCCGCTCTCGGCTACCGAGAACATAGACTATGTTACACCATGCACCCCTTGAGATGTAATGATATATGATACTTACAGCAAACAGCAACAACAAACAACGAGAAGTACGATTGGAACAGCCAAAAGTATCAATTCTCCAACCATTTCTACATTCGTGACAACTCGTGTTATGCACAGTTCCGACCGACGCTACGAACGCACGCCTACTATACATTTGTTACTGTTGCTATGTAACCCAAGCTTTGCAACACACTCCGGCGCAGTGATGACCTTAACTTTTTGTACTCGAAGGGTGTGTGCACGACATAACAGTTTTCAGCCATGACCTGGTCGTTTTCGTGTACGCGAAATGTTAGAGATCGCTGTCGAAGCGCGCAAAGGCCCACAAACTTCAGTTGGAAATAGATCTACGATCCCAAGAATTCCCTCCCAGAAATTATTTTTCTTGTTAAGCCCATGACATCACGTCTGTTTCCCCGGGTCAGCCTCTCCACTTCTCAGTCAGATGACATCTACTAAAAATCGATCATAGAATACACACAAAGTTACAATGCACAGGCTGGTTGTGACACCCGGGTAACACCCTGTCCCGTCAAATCAAACGCACAGAGTGAGTGGAGTGAGTGAGTGAGTTATTATTTAACGACACATCGGCAATATTTCAGCCATATCGTGACAAGACCACTTGACATTGAAATAGAATATGTAGAGAGATTATAAAACCTGCCGACAAAGGATAGTAAAGCAACTAGAGTATCACAGATATATATGTAAAACTAGTAATTGAATCTAAAACATTTTAACTATAGGGGACAAAACAATATAAAATGGACTATAGATCGCCAACAACTGAAGGTAGATCACCATACTAGGAGCTATGGGGACTTACATTACTTTTGCTACCTGCATGGATCCTAGCTGGATTTACACCATCCCTTCGGCCGCTGGCGATTGTAGGACAGTTTAGCCAACAGTTAAAATAACGAAAATACTACGTTTAAAATGTGATAATTTATATTTGACTTTGAATGTTTTGGGCTTACGTACTCTCTCAGGAGGACAATATTTTTACGCTACTCAACCCCTTTGAGGGTACAGCCACTATCAATCTCAGTTTCTAATCTAAACTACCAATAATAAAATATTTAGCTATTTACAGATCAGTCAACAAGTCAAATGCTTTTAAAATTTAACTATTTAAATGAGAACTAACATTATAAAAAGATCCTTCAATGTTTTGACATTGAAATACTTATCCCTTATCCCAACACAGTCAAGCAGGACACGCTTGACCGTGATTCTTTCATCACAAGGGATACAAAACGGAGGATCCTCACCTTTTAATAGGTACTCATGAGTATATCGTGTGTGGCCAATACGACATCGTCGTATGATGACCTCTTCAAATCTGGACTGACAACCCAAGTAGGTGTTACCGATAGTTGGTTTTATTGCATGTAATTTATTAATACCTGCTTGGGTGTCCCACTTCTTCTGCATCAGATCACGGATGTAAGTTCTAATGCAAGCTTTGTAATCAGAGTAGGGAATAAGAAGTGGTGTCACAGATTTGTTGAGTGCTGCCTTGGAAGCAAGATCGGCCATTGTATTCCCAGAAATGCCAACGTGGCTGGGTAACCAACAAAGACGATGTCGCATTGGCCAGTAGCAAGATCATTAGATAATTCTGATTATTTCAGTTAAAAGTGGATGTTTGCAAGAGAGATTTTTAATAGCCTGAAGGCAAGAAGAGAGTCAGAAAATATTATATATTGTTTATGTTTGGGATGTCTTGGAATATATTTAAGAGCTGTTAAGAAGGCGTTTGCTTCTGCTGTAAATATAGAGCTGTTATCAGGTATTCTAGAAGATATTGTTCTGGATCCAATGACAGTTGCACATGCCACTGCGCCACCGTCCTTGGACCCATCTGTAAATAAGGATTTGTATGTATTATATTTGATTTTTAATTGATTATATTCTTGTTTATACTGTAATTCATTAGTTTCAGATTTCTTAAACTTCAGGCCTCACCAGTTGCCAAGGAGGAGAAGAAAGAAGACGGGAAGGAGATATATATTTTCCAGCTCAATGCCGGCAGCAGAAAGAAATGGTTTAATTCTGTAAACCAAGAGGCGGAACAAGAGAAGGCTTTTTGTTGTACAACTCCTCATTAGAAGGATTGAAAAAACAGTTAAATGCAGGATTAGACTCGTTAGGATAGAGTTTTGTTATATACTGTAAAGATAGTTTGATACGACGTTGCGGGTAAGGGAAGGCTCATCAGCCTCAACATAGAGACTATCAATAGGAGAGGTTCTAAAAGACCCAAGACAAAGTCTTAGGCCTTGGTGGTGGACAGAATCAAGTAGTTTTAGGTTGTTTTTTGCAGGCTCCACCATATACGATGGAGCCATAATCAAGTGATTTGTAAAGGTGTAGGAGCGTAGCTTGATTTCCTCCCCACCTTGAATTAGACACGACTTTCAATAAATCGAGTGCCTTCAGGCATTTAGTTTTAGAGATTTGATATGCGGAAGAAAAGTTAAATGGGAGTCGAAAATGGGACCTAAGAACTTGGCCTCTTTTACCTCCTTGATGGGAGTGTCATTTCAAAACAGTTCTGGGTCTTTATGTGGTTTATATTTACGGCAGAAATGTATGCAATTAGTTTTGATTTAGAAAATTTAAAGCCGTTTTCAAGACACCATTTATTTATTTCGTTTAAACACTGTAGTTGCCGTTCAATAGTATGCATATTCTTACCGCGACAAGAAATGTTAAAATCATCCACAAAAAGTGATCCATCAATTGAATCATTTAAAACCTTGGATAAACTGTTGATCTTAATACTAAACAATGTTACAGACAAAATACTGCCTTGTGGGACACCCTGATCCTGATTATAATGGTCAGACAGGGTTGAACCCACTCGGACTTGAAATTGCCTGTCTTTTAAAAACTGTGATATAAAAAGAGGTAAACGACCCCTCAAACCAAAATCATGTAAATCCTTCAAAATGCCATGCTTCCAGGTGGTATCGTATGCTTTCTCAAGATCAAAGAAAATTGATACAGCATGTTGTTTATTAACTATTGCATTTTTTACAAAGGATTCTAAACGTACCAAATGATCAATGGTACTACGAAATTTCCTGAAACCACATTGAATATTTGTTATGAGATTATTGGGTTCAAGATACCATGTTAATCGATTATTTACTATTCGTTCCATGGTTTTACAGACGCAACTCGTTAAAGAGATTGGTCTGTAATTAGACAGATCAGTATAACCCCGACCAGGCTTTTTGGTATAGGGACTACAATGGCATTATGCCACGAAGGTGGGAAATTCCTGAAGTCCATATTGTGTCAAAAATATTTAGAAGAGTTTCCAAACATGATTCCGGTAAATGCTTCAAGAGCTAATAGTGTATATTATCAGCTTCTGATGCTGTGTCATGAGCTTGCTCAAGGGCAGTGTGGAGCTCATGTAATGAAAATAATTCATTATAGTCTTCGCCATTGTCCGAGTTAAAATTTATTTCTCTTCTTCTCCTCTTGTTTCTGATATTGTTGAAATTCAGGGACGTAATTTGACGAAGAAGAGTGTTTGGGCGAGAGTTTCACCAAGCTTATTGGCAATGCCAGACTTACCAGTTAATATATTGTCACCATCCTTCAGATGGTGAACAGTAGATTTGGAACCTTTGCCCTAAATTCTTTGGATCATGTTCCACACCTTTGAAATCGGTGTGCGTGAATTTATTTTAGAAACATATTTCCTCCAAGACCGACGCTTATTCTGTTTAAATGTAAGTCGAGCCTTGGCATTTAAAATTTTACTTTATTCAAATTATGGACAGTAGGATGTCGCCGAAAATATTTTTCAGCTTTCTTCCTGCTCTTTCTGGCCTGTTAACATTCATTATAAAACCATGGCTTACGAATATGTGGAACTGCATAGGACTTAGGTATAGTTTGGGCAGCAATGTCATTGAGTAATTCGGAAAAAAACTGTATAGGATCTTCGCTGTTCGCAAATACATCATGTTTTAAGTGATCAGCACATAAGGTCTCATATAATGACCAATCGGCCCTGGCGAAGTTCCTTCTCGATAAAGGTGGATAATCACCAGGGTTGATTGTCTTGAGAATGGCAGGGAAGTGATCACTCCTACATAGATCATCATGTACCATCCATTCGAATTCATTATACAAGATGGAGTCAGCAAGTGATAGATCCAGGGAAGAATATGTTCCCGTAGCTGGATGTAAATAAGTGGCTGAGTCATCATTAAAAATACATAAATTATTATCGGAAATGAATTCCTCAAGGATTTTACCTTTAGTGTTGGTATGGATACCTCCCCAAAGTGGGTTGTGTCCGTTAAGATCGCCCATGATAACACGTGGCTTAGGGAGTTGATCGTACAGATTTTGAAGATCTGTCTGACGGATATTAGAAGAGGGAGGAAATACAA